GGAAGGGGTGGGGAGGGTTGGGGAGGGAGAAGGCGTTGCACCTATGCTGAGATTGGTGCAACGAAAAGTTCTTTTCCTTATTGCGGCCCCTTGGCACTCGGTGTTGTGGCTCAGGCCCTGGTTTTTAGCTCTGTCTGTCTTTCAAACGCCTAACAAGGTGTCAATATCTTAAAAATTTTATCTTTCTGCACATAAAACTCAAGCGGATCATAGTAAATCAGCCTTTGGTCAGGCAGAAGACGACGGCGACTTCGACTATGGCCCAATGCCCACTCTTAGACCAGAGTTAGCCACCATCTAAAAGGCCTTTAAGCCTTTTTTTCTCTCCTCTCCTCCCCCTTCCTTCATTTTGGACGAGGCACAGCCTTAACCCGAATGCCACCCCGCCGCACCGACAACAATGGACGGCTCTCTGACCAATGGAGCGAGCAATGTGCCTCTTATACGCCGGATTTACGATCCGACTCTCGTCGCCGTCGCCGTCGCCGTCGTCAGCGTCAGCGTCGTGGCACAAGAAATATTCGATGGCCAGGCAACGATTAAAACGGACGCTTCACGCATGCGCGTTCACACACTCTGATACTTGCACTTACATTTATATGCATTCTGCATAATGGACTAAAGCACATGGAGGAAAGCACAGTGGAGGGCACCTGCGTAGGAGCCAGCTGGGTGGACGTGGACAGCCTTGCAGATCATTTTTAACCTCTAGAGTCCGCCCAATGTTCAGAAGTTCTGCAGTAGAGCCCTGCAGGAATCCACGGTATTCATACAGTCACGGCTACACTCATGCCTCATGCCTCTAGAATGCGTTAGATCATTGCGAATGCTGCCTTCAGCCAGATTCGGATCACCCCGAATAATAATTAAAGCCGTGTGCGAGGTCTGCGGTTGAAAATCAGTAAATTTCTTTCGCAGTCTCTGAAATGACTCAAAACATAATACTCCTCTCCTTCTTCCTCTCTACTTCTTTTGTTTGGCGCAAAACATTCTTTAATTATACGAGTATCTGAAATTCATTTTATTCAGTTGGATGTAAGAAAATATGAAGGAGAAGCTAAATGGAGAGCGATCGCGTAAAAAAGCCGAACTATTCGGATCAGACACAGTAAAAATTACGAACAAGATGTTTTTTGAAATATCGTCTTTGATTCGTATATAATTGTGTGTCCAGCACTGTAAATTGTAAAAGAGGGCTCGCTGTTGCTGTTGAGCAATGTTCACTGGGTGTTTGGCCTGCCAGCATTTGCAACACCACAGAGCCAGTGCCAAAGCCAGTGCCAGTGTCAGAGCAAGAGCAATAGCAGCAAGCAGCAAGCAGACCGGCATCCCAACCTTGGCATCGGCATCGGCAACAGCATCAGCATCAGCGGGGTCGGGCTATGGCTATGGCTTCGACTTGGGTTGTGGCGGCCAGAGCATGCATGGGGGATACGGATTGGGGCGCATCATCATGTGCGCATTGCACGCACGTGATTAAAGCGTAGCCCCGTCGCGAGACAGTGTTCAAGGGCGAAGGGCGAGGGACTGGGACTGGGACTGGGACTGGCCAAGTTCTGCTTATAAATCAGAATTCGCTCTTTTTTTGGGACGACAATGAACCCGATCCGAGTTGCAAGAGAGGCACCAACCGCACTACATATTGATAAATAAATAAGATCGCCAAAAGGCTTTTGTCTCTGGATATTCGGTATCTCCGCTCCGCCCATTCCGTTGGTGGCAAGTTCAATGCACTTGTGCGACTGGTTTCAATTTAAATTTGAAAATGCATCCGCGAAGATTTACGCGCGGCATCTTTAATTTGTGGCTAAAAAACACACACAGAGATGGCACTGACCGAAAATTAATAATCGAAGGGGGGTTGAAGGAGCATTCCCCAGCCATTCCTATTGAGAGCGATGATGCTCCACGGGCTGACACTTGACCCAGACGGCGCCGGCGTGTCTTGTAGCAAATAAATTAAGGCGCTCATGAAGTGCCACAGGCTACGGACGGACCGACTCTGACACATTTGTGACTCTGTCCGCTCAGTCCCGCTCAGGCCAACAGTCGGCACTTCTATGGATCCACATCTACGTCCAGGTCCGGGTTCGGGTTCGGCCTCGGATTCTGTTCCAGACATTCAAATCGCTCGAAATCAATCAGGTTCGGGGAGGATTACGGTCTTTGGCGCCGCTGCGATGAGGCCAATGTAATATTAGCCAATCTAAGCTAGAGGTCAAAGCCAGTTCTCGGTTCTTCCTCTGCGAATTCGTGAAAATATTCTAGCTCCATCAAAGTGGCAGGAGAACGATTTTAAATATTTTTTAACCATAAAGAAAGTTGATACAAAAGACAGGTAATGAGATCGTTGCAGCCGAGGAAAAAAGTTCGTCTGGATACAAAAAAAAAAATGCATTAAAGTTTGATTGGAAACGTGAATACGCATTTATCTCTATGGAGAAAATAAAACCATGTAGATATTCTTTCTTTTATTAGCTATAATATTTTTTCTACAGAGTTGATGTAATATATTTGTCTTAAAGTGTTTTATACGGCATACGGAATTTTGAATACATTTATATTTAATTTAAATTGAATTCTATTCAATTTAGCGATTTTTATACTAAAAACTCTATTCATTTCGTGTTTCGTTTTAGTAGAACCTTTTTTCTCTCAATGTACTATCTTCTCAATAACAATGAATATTCCAATTTCAATATTTCAATATATGTATTTTCCAGAACATAAGGATTTCATTATTTTTTATAAATACGTATTATGTGTATTTGTACTTTAACTATTATTTTTCGTTGGGTTGTTGACCAATTGACTTTTGGCCAGCGCAAGCGCACGAGCCACAAACCCGCCTTGATCTTGTGCCCAGTCAGGAGTTATTAACGCAATGTGTCTCGGGTTTGTCATGAAATTCAATCCAGCGATCCGGAGAAAGGCAAAACCTAATATTAGAATGCCTCTAAGTTGGGATTGGCTTAAGTGGCAAGGATTACATAAATATCTGGTACTAAAGAAAACTTTGGTAAGACAATATTTGCAAGGCCAACAGCCAGAGCCAAGTGACAGGTTTAATTTGAGAGATAATGTAGAGATGACAACGACAGCCTTGGATTAGCTAAAACAAGGATTAGGCACAACACGCAGACAACTTCTAATTGAGATACGCCGCGGAGAAATGTATATGCATACAATACGAGTATACCCGCAGGATTCATAATCATAAATCCCCTGCATCGCATCGCATCGCATCGTATTGCCGTTTCTAGTTGCTCATTTCTCGAATCATATTAAGTACTCCGCACGAATGTCTTTCCCTGCCTCTGATTAGATCTAAATGTGAACAGGTATTCCAGAAACAGGTAGGAATCGCTCAAGATCATGATCGCAGTGGCAGTGGCAGTGGCAGTGGCAGTCGGAGTTGGAGTCGAGTCTGAGTTATTGCTGTTTATGGCGAATCACAAATTTGACTACACGCTCGTTTATAAGAGCATGACGCCGGAGTGGAATGTTTTCGGCTTTTGGGGCATGCCGAAAGGTTATTTACCCGCCTTCATGTCAATACGGTAACCGAGAACAAGGCGGACCGGACCTCTGGCTGACTTCTGACTTCTGCCTTCTGCCGGCCGGCAAAAACTGATCAGACACTCGCAGATTTCCACTAACGATACCGTACTACACACATACTCGAATCGAGGGAGAGCGCAGAGAGGGGGCTCCAGTTCAATTTGGAACGATCTACATAACATTTGTTGCGGCTAATGGCTTGGCATTGTGAGGCGCTCCCAATATGGAGATGGATATGCATACCCAGTGGTCAATGAAAATTAAACCCCTCTGAGCCCCATTTGCACTAGCCCTGATGGAGATACATTTCAGCATTGAACGCTTGCTCAAAAAATACCTATATATGTACATATGTGTAATATTGTACTAAGGAAATTTAGATAGTAAGAATATATGGATCCACCAATATTCTTAAGACGCCACTGATATTTAAAGATACAGCTTCTTTGAATTGAAATATCATCTACAACTATCTAGAAACTTTTTTCGTTATCGATCTACATAATGTGGAGCATATGGCGATATATAATCATTACTCCGTATCTACATACACACAGCCCATAGTTTTCGCCACTCGTTTGCCCTAGTGTGGACGGGGCTTAATTCTAACTGTAGTTTGCTGAAAGCGCGCGCCATACACAATAATACTTATAGAACGAGAGTGCTCCCGTTGCCGTTCCCCAGTTCCTATTGCCATTGCCTTTGCCATTGGTATTGCCTTTCCCACCTCAACACTTTGTATATCGATATATCATTAGCGGGCTTTTGATTTACAATCGCCTTTTGTGTGTGGACTTTGCTGTTTTTCTCTTTTGTTGAGCCATTTTCGAGAGAGTGGCTATGGCTATGGCTATGGCTCTAGCTCTGACAGGGGAGGGGGGGTGCCACAAAGTTAGACCGCAATAATGGGTGGCTAATAGCACTTTCCTGCCAGAGCGAAATTGAGAAGAACCAGCCACGAGCCATTGGATCCGATCCGAATCCGAATGAAAGTGTTCTCCGATCTGCGAGCAATCGCTCGCTCTGTTTAGTGGTACTTTCTTGTGGATATACTATTGGTAGATTCCCAATAAAGACCCTTACTTATCAGCTTTAACTTGAGGCAACTTCAGTGATAAGTTGGGCTCAATCACAGAAAAACTCAAGACACATTATGGGTACCGCTATGGCCAAAACGCTCGTTCTAAGACTCTCGTTTACCTGCTCCCTCTCTACCTGTTCGAACTGCAACTCGAACATCGCGTTTGGGGCTGCGTGGTTCGCTTCAAACTTGTCTCAAACGACAAGACAAAGCTGCCCCAAAGTCCGACTTGCAGAGCGAGCTGGTTTTTCAAAAATCTTCGAAACTCCGAGCCGAGCGGACGTGTGAGCGCGAGGAGCGAAAGAAGCGAAAGAAGCAGCGCGGAAAAGTAGAATCCAGCGAATCCAACGAATCCAACGAAACGAAACGATCGCGATCGCGAGTGAGATGTGCCGCATCTGAAGCGGGCTACGGATTAAGTGTTGCGGGTTACGGCTTACGGCTTACGGGCAGACGATTCAATGGCCAGCAGACGCCGCCTGCAGCTGCTGCTCCTGCTGGTCCTGCTGGTTCTGCAGTTGATCGGCACCACGCCGGCGTCTCGCAGCCTCAGTGTCAACGGGAACAACATCTGGCGAAGAGTGCGTCTCGTGACCAGCCAGGAGAGCGATCGCAATGCTTACCAGGTGCTCAAGCCGAGCAGCCGCAACTCCACCTCCACCTCCACCTCCAAGAGTACCACCACAAGTCCAAGCACAACTAGCACTAGCACCACATCCACACCCACATCGACAGCCATTCCTCCACACTCACAAAGATCAGCAAAGCAATTGGATCTCAACTTTCCGGGCAGCAACGTCTCGAATGCCGCCCGCCTGGAAATGTCCACGGAATTCTTCGTGGTGCCCACTCTGACGGCCAGCAGCACCACCAGCAGCAGCAGCTCCACCACGTCCACGCCCACGAGGAGTCTGGGAGCCAGAGCCCGATCCGCCAGCACACCCCGAGACAGCCAGGGGAACAGTAGCGGCCACGGACACAGCCACGGCCACGGCCATGGCCACGGTACCCCTCCAAGCATCGTGTCCACGCACCTGCCCTTCGCCGGACTCCGGAAGGAGCCGTGGGTGGTGCCGGTGCTGGTGCTGGCCACTCTCACCATGCTCATGATGGCCGCCTTCGAAATATTCGTGCTGTTCAAGGCCTGGCGAACCTCGCCCTCGCGACGTCACCTCTTCCTGGGCCAGATGCTGCTGCTTGGACTGTTCGCCTGCGCCAGCCTGGGCGCCATTATTACCGCCCAGCCCACGCTCCTCAGCTGCGGGGCGATCCGCTTTGGGGTGGGTGTTGCCTACGCCCTTGTCTTCGCCGCCCTCCTGGTGAAGTGCGTCTTCCTGATCAGCCTGAACGGGGGAGTATACCTGCCGGCACCATACCAGGGCCTGCTGCTGCTCTTCGCACTTCTCATCCAGGTGGCCATCGGGGGTCAGTGGCTGCTTACCCAGCCGCCCGAGGTGTACACCACCAGTGTGCCAGTGATGGGCAGCGGATTCCTCTCCACAACGGTGGCCTCGCAGACGAATTACTCGGCGCTGTTCTACCCCACGTCATACACCACGCTGGACGGAACGCCGGAGATCTACACGAGAATTGCGGCGGTCAGTACGGTCCTGATCCCGCTGTGTAAGACGCAGTTCTCGGAGCTGCTCTTCTCGCTGATCTACATCGTGTTCCTCATCGTGTTCATCGCCGTGCTGGCCATCAAGTCGCGCGGAATACGTGACAACTACCGCGAGGCCACCTACATTGGCCTGGCCATCGGCGGCGCCATTCCCATCTGGCTGGGCTGGATGCTGTGCGGCCTGGCCGTGGCGGAGCGGCACAAGGACGCGTGCATCGCCTTCGGACTGGTGGCCACCTCGGCCACCGTCTTCCTGGTGATGTTCATGCCCAAGGGCAGGCAGCTGGCCGCCATGGGCAAGGAGGGGCTCTACGTCGAGGATCGGGAGGAGCAGTTCAGCTCTCTAAGTCGCGCTGGGTCCGGCTACTCGCCCTCCTTCTTCCACTTCAAGCCTATCAAGTACGGGGTGATGAGCGGCTGTGGGATTCCCAACTCCGCCTCCAATACGGGCCAGGGCCTGAGCTCCAAGCACTGTTCCAGTGCCAACAATGGTGGAGGTAAGTCCGTCTCCATATCCATAGAACCGTAGATCCATATTCATAGTCTTTGGATGTGTCACAATTTCTGCAAAAGGTCACCAGTCAATAAGTCTGTCAAAATGTACGAGCACTTGGACCCCACCTAGATCGGATTCAATACCCCCATCCCCCACCCCGATGATTGCCTTTGCCCCTTGTGGCAGCTGTCAGTCAGTTCCTGTTAGTTTTGTAATAACTTTCTTTTCTTGCCTCTTGCCTCTTGCCTCATGTGCACGCGCTCCTAGGGGTGGGACTGGCAACCTCTTGAACTTTTATGTTTATCCATACGTTCGCTCTTTCTAAAAGCAAAAACAAAAAAATAAAAAAACACACATTCAAGAAGAAAGAAAAGCAAAAGTCTTAACTTTCAAAGTCAGCTCAGCAAGAGCTCCACCAGACGGTAGCCACGGCGCACAGTGGTTCACCGGCATTGGAAAGGGAATACACAATGGGAAGTACAAAATATGAAAAAGGAAAAGGTCATGGCATATATGTTGGTCTTCTAATAGTACTGTTTCATAGTATGTTTATTTTGAATCACAATTTTTAGTCATTTTCTTTGTTATAAATTATTCGGCATCATAATCTGCCTTCTTCTCCGCTGCTTTTGCTATTTTGTATGCAAATTTGTGCGCTTTCTTTCTCTGTTTTTCTAGCTGAAAATTCTTTGCGGTGCATTTTTCTAACGCCCAACCACTGTGCAGCGGCGGCGGCATTAACTGGGCTTAAAATTGTTTTGCCAGGCCGTGTAATTGTTTGGCATATTAATTTTCCCGACGCCGCGCCGCAGCGTCGTGTAAGCCAAGTGCAGAAAGAGCTCACATGCAGAGATCTGTCTGTCTGTCTGTCTGTCTATCCATCTGTCTCTATCTCTAAGTATCTCTATGCTCGTTTGGCTCCATCTGTATCTCTATCTCCGACTCTGACTCTGACTCTGTCTGTCTGTCTGTCTGGCTGCTGCTTTCGTTTTCGTTGTGAGAACGAACGGGCGAAGTTCGTGGCCAGAGTCTTTTGATTAAATTTCTTTTGCTGCCACTGTGCCGTGCCGTGGCTTAAGCCATTTCTGATGATGCAAATAAAGCCATCATCAGGAATGAAATTTACGATTCCAGATTTCACATCTGCCCATTAAGCGGTGTTAAGTGTCATGGAAACGGTCGCGACCCGGCCCCAAAAACAAACGCTTGGCAGATTGTCAAAGAGCAACCCCAATGAAAAGAAGCACAATACAAATGTCTCTGCAATTTTTGGCTATTTACGATCTACAGATTCGCCAGTGTCAATATTTTGCGGGATTTGTATTTATTACGATTATGAGTATGATTATGATTATTAGTTTTTGTCTCTTTTCTAAACAATAATAAAAAGCCCTAAAAGGCTTTCAAAACTTCAGCTTTCTAATGAAAGGAAAAGTTGTGTGTGCGCCGCATGTGTGTGGCAAGTGGAAAGAAAAGAGAGGCTTGAGCTGAGGAGGAATGTAGGGTAGCACATCAATGGGTGCCGTGCCTGCTTTAGCCATGTAACACTTTACGTAATTTAATTAAAGCAAATACATCAAAAATGTATGATTACAGTCAGCAAAAACATTTTCAATGGAAATGGGGCCAGGAAAACTTCAGGCCACTCAAGTGGAAAACACAGCAGAATTGCTCCAGTGAAAAATTAATTATTGATCCATTTCACAAACATTTCACAAGGTAGCCCAAAAAGGCTTTAATAAAACTATTTTCCCTTTTAGAGATTTCCCTTGTCCTAGAACAAGTTCTCGTGGCTTTAATCCCAGTTAAAGCCCTTTGCCTAGGTAAGGGTATAAAAGCTGCAATAATTTACCAAATTATAACAATGCGCCTCTGGGCCCAAGTAGGAAGCGTTTTACATGGCAGCTACTTGACGACGACGACGACTCCGAGTCTTTGTATGTGAGCCACGCATGAAAGCAAACAGAAACAGGGCCAGAGCCAGAGCCAGAGCCAGAGCTGGGCCCAAATGCAGCTGAAGCTCGAGCTGCAGTTGGAGCTGAAGCTGAAGCTGGAGCCACGGCCCACAGCCGAAACGATTCGTCGTCAGCCCAAAGTGCCTGTGGGCAGCCTTAGCCTCAGCCACAGCACAGCCACAGCTCAGTCTGACTCTGGGCCTCAGATTCCTCTACCAATTCGGAGCGGGGCGGCTCAGTCTTCGTTTTCGTCTCAGCTATCGGCGCATAAAGAAAGCCAGCAACGACAGACGACAGCCAAAGACAGACAAAATATAGGTAGGTACGTATACACTTATAGATAAATGAGAGATATAGTGCCCTGGCACTCGCTGCATACCCGCGTACATACAAACATTTGTACATATGTATGTATGTATGTATGTATGTGTATACTCGTACGTCAAACTGTCTGCAATTGAAAGTGCATTTGAGAGGGGGGTAACAGCCAAAGAAACAGCAACAACAACAACAACAGCAACAGCGAAAGAAACAACAGCCACAGGCAGAAACCTTAAGACCAAAAGACAAATGTCTGGAGACACACAAAGTACAGAAAATCAAAGTTGGCACAGAGCTTAACAAGCAAACGGAGCAAACATCAGCCAAGAGCTGAGCTGCCAGCAATCGCTGCTATTATCGTACTCGTACTCCAGACCCCCAGACCCCAGGTCCCAGGTCCCAGCACTAGCACCAGCCCATAGCCAAACCCGATCCGATCGGATCCGATCCGATCCCCAAACATGTGTGTGGGTTGACTCTTCGACTTCAGTCGAGCGGAGTGCGAGTGCCAGTCCCAGTCCCAGTCCCCATCCCAGTCCCAGTCCCCATCCCAGTCCCAGTCCCCATCCCAGTCCCCGTCCCAGTTGAGTGAAGTGAGCCAAAGGCACGGACGAGAGACGGCAAGGGTTCCGGCTTGATTAAGGGCAAAGAAAGAAAAAAAAGTGGAGCTGCATGTGGGCTGGCTGCGGCAGAAATTTACATAAGGCAATGAGGCAAGAGCAAAATCAAAAGTTTTTCCTCTTTTTTTTTGCTGATTGAAGAGCAAATGACTTGGGCAACGAACTTGATTTGGTAGTGGAATTGATGGCCAAATCTATTATAGGATTTCTTGATCCCTTTTAATCGTTTGGTCGAGGGATACTCACTAGGAGTATGGTGTGGATATGACACTGTTGGTTAATTAAAAGAGCCCCAAGTTCTCTGACTGACATATTTTACACTGAATGAAATTCTCTTATTCTTTTCACAAACCATAATATACTCGTGACAGATACAGAACATAGCTTGTTGTACATTTATAAGCTCAAAGAATGAGACTGGATACGCGTAAGCCGAAACCGCAAAGTCTTGAAAAATATTTCTAATAAATTTTTGATATCGAATTTCCTGCTAAGCCTTGATGTTTAGATGTGTGCATGTATGTATGTATCTGCCTCTGTATCTGTGTCTTTTCCTCTCTGAGGGTGTCTATAATCTGTGAGTGTGTGTGTGTGGTCGTAAGCAGTTCGGCACATAATTCACTGAGCAATTTGCAACAATAAACTAAACGACAGCTAACGGCGTTGACGCCAAGGAATGGGCCAGGGCCTGGCCTGGCCTGGCCAAGACACACTGGTCTCAAGAGCGACTGGGCAGGGGAGCAGTCAGAGTCAGAGGCCAGCAGCCAGCAGCATTCGCGATGATTGCCACCGCAGCCGCGGCCTCGGCTTCCCAGTCGAAGACGAGGAGACGATGAACGCAGATTGACAGCTCCAGCTCCAGCTCCAGCTCCAGCTCGAGTCTCTAGAGGCCCTACGCTCGAGGCCGCACAGGTCTGGTTTGCTTTGCTCGGCTCTGGCTCTGCCTAAAAGGATGTCGTGGGGCCTTGTCGCGATGTGGCCCGATATGAGCCGCCCGTTGTTTGAACGCGCGCAAACCGCTCGAAATGATACGAGAGTTCAAGGTTGCGGGACTGGCTTTAATTGAAGTCGCATTGTTGTAACAGCTCCGGCAGTGGCAACGGACAACGGACAACGGACTGCGGAGTGCGGACAACGGGCAACGGCAGCTGTCGACAACGAGCTGCGCGATGACAGGCCTAGTCACAAAAATAGATACGAACATGCCTCTGCACTATGTAGATACTTCCGTTGCTGCATGATCATGATGTTATCATTATACACTGCCCTGAAGTTGGCCAAAGAGATCCGCTGCTGAGGAGAGCCGCAACTCATTGACCCTTTTTGTGGAGAGATGCCACCGCTAGGGTGTCTCGTCTTCGGCTTGTGGGAAAGCCTCAATTTGGCCAGTTGGTCAGTAAGACGGGCCGGGCCCATCAATCTGTGCATCTGCCTTGCGGTCTTTGTTCTCTGGCGACGACGCATTTTTTTGTAATTTTATTGAGTGACTTTATGCCAGGCAGCCACATCCATAAAATCAATCATTCATACTTGTACCCATGGAATCGAGCAGAGCAGAGCAGAGCAGAGCGGACCCGATCAGACCTTGGAAGGTTAAAGCCGTACTCGAGAGCCGTCCCGTCCCGTCCCGTGCCGTGCCGTGCGGAAGTTTTTATCTATGAGTATTTGTCTTGCATGTTTATCGATCGATGGGGATTTGTCAATAAAAAGCCGCCCCAGGGAGGCCACAATTCATTTAACTGTGCCCGGTCCAGAGATTGTTTTTCTTATTTTTTCCACATTTTGTGCTTTTTTTTCTTTTTGCCAAGCGCAAACTTGAGGATCTAACACTGAGGCTAAGCTTGAGGTGGAGGTTTGATTGGGTTATTGATGGATCTTACACAAAGGTTGCCTCATTGTCATTAACCAGTTGGCGTTGGCCAACCGATGATCGGCCCAAGGAGAGCCCATTAGGAATATGAGAAATGAATAAATGATTGCCACGATTTGTATTGGTTTTTTTCTGCAAAGATCTTTTCTATTTTTAAGAGTACATACATACATATATGGAAAGTATTAGGTTTCCTGCAAGCAAGTTCTAAAACATTCAAGAATAATATGAATAC